ACACCACATAAACTGAATCAAGGACAAAACTCACACAATCATCTTAATAGATGCAGAAAAAGCTTTTGACAAAACCAAACATCCATTTGTCATTCATCCATCCCCCTGCCTGATGCTGCCCATCCAAACTGCCTGCTGTCTGGACTCAGACTTTGAACTAACTCTGTGTTCTCAACAAGCTCCTTATCTCCTTGAAGAAGTTCTACCTCATCTGTAATCTTCTTTAGCTACCTGTGGTGACTTTTCACATCTGTGAAAGGACTCTGCTTTGGCTTTCCTCTTCAAATCCTGCAGCCACTGTCTACCCTTTCTTAGCCATTCTGTTACCTTTATTATTGTGTGAAGTGTGATGTGTGTCTTGAATGTTATAGCTATTAGTAATTAAAATTAGAAGCCAGGGTGATGGTGCACACCTGTAAACCCAGCACTCAGGAGCCTGAGGCAGAAGGAATGCTTTAAGCTTCAGTTTAGCCTGGGCTACTTAGTAAGACCTTGTCTCAAAACAAAATAAAACAAAACAACACAACACAAAGATTAGAATAAAAGCCGGGTATGGTGGTGCACACCTGTAATCCCAGCACTTGGGAGGCTGAGGCAGGAGGATCATTGTGAGTTTGAGACCAGTCTGGGCTACAAAGTGAGCTCAAGGCCAGCCTGAACTGTACAGTGAGACCCTGTTTCAAAAAAAAGACAAAAAAAGAAAGATTGGAATAAAAGAACCTATGATTGTCTGCTTTGCTGGCTATGGAGTGACCTTTGAGTAGTTGGCCTGATAAGGCTGATTGAAATTGATGTAGCTTGTGAAGTTATTGTTATTTAATGATATCTGACACTGTGGAAAGACAAAAACATATCCAGGCTATGTTACTTGTATAGATCACTCACACTTAGGTTATTGCTTCTGTTTTCATCACAGCCACATGACTTATCATCACTTTTTTTTAGACAAGGTCTTCCTATGCAGTTTAGGCTGACCTTAAACTCACTATGTAGCTAAGGCTAACCTAACTCACTGCAATCCTCCTGCCTCAACCTCCCATTTTCCAGATGAGGCAATTTTCTTTCTTCATTGTCCTTCCTGTTTCCTCCTCACCTCTTCCTCTAGGAACATTTCATGTTTCTACTTCACAAAAAAATTTAGAAGGGCTCAACGTAGAACTAAAGATTATGAAGGAGTGCACATGTGGCACACCCCTGTAACCCTAGTACCTTGGAGGGTGAGGCAGGAGAATTGGAAGTTCCAGGCCATCCTCGGTAGTTTAGTGATTTATGGAGACCCTGTCTTAAAATAAAAAATAAAATGGGGTTGGGGATGGGGATTTACTCAGTGCAAAGGTCCTGGGTTCAATTTCCAAGACCATATTAAAAAAAAAAAAAAGAGGCAGGAGCCCTATTTGTCCTCAGCCTCCATACACTTACATTTAACCTTTTCATGTTATGTCCAAATAAAGTTACAGAGAGAAAATGTGCATGTATACTTTTTGTTAAATGTAAATAATTAAAATATGCTATGATTTTTGTACCATATTTTGTCACGTTGTTATCTTTCTTTTAAACGTGTGGAGACTCATAAAACTGGGAAAAGGCCCAGTAAGTTGTGCAAAGTAACCTGACCAAAGTCTGGCTCCTCGCAAGGGGCTCAAGCCAGGACAGGGGAGTCAAGCATGTCCACAGCCAGAGTCACTCACTGTTTCAAAAGAATCCAGCATGGTCCATCACAGGGGACAATTAAGCTCACTAGGTTTAGAGTCAGTTGTACTCCCTTCAAAGTTCCAATTACTTTGTGACTTGGGCAAGTTGCATGGCTTCCTAATTTGAAAACCAGAGAATGTAATGGTACCTGCTGCAGAGTTGCTATTAAATGAAAATGTGCTCGAATAGTTCAGCACAGGCCGGCATGTAGTCAGCACACAGTGAGTTGTAGCTATTATTGCAAGAACTGTATTTGCTGAATGACTGCCTCTTGCATATAACGCCTGCATTCAGCTTGAACACGGAGATGCGCAGTCCCTCAGTTGAAGGGGTAGGAACTGTGGCACTCTCCAATTTTTTTTTTTTTTTCTCGAAATAAATCACTGAAGGAGGATAATGACTGGTTGGAAAATCAGTCTTGAGGGAACAAAGATGAGATCGCCAGTCCAAAGGAGCAAGGAGATGAAGTCTCCCTTGCGGGCTACAGCCACCGTGCGGAACCGCGCCAGGACTGGATTAGCCGCTGCTGGGCACACCAGCCCTTGTTGAGGATGTCACAATAACAGATATTAGCGAAGTGGGGCAGGATCTCTTCTAATTCCTCTTATTTTATTCTCAGGGGCCACACCCTGAGCGCGGGGAGGAAGGACTCCAAAGCCGTGGGAGGGGGGCGGAGGCTTGCACGCAACCCCAGACCTGACCATCTATGGTCACAGAGTGCATCGAGCAAACAGGAAGTGGGGCGAGGGCACAGTTTTTCTCCACCTTCCCAGCCTCAGGCTGAGGGAGCCGGCAGGGCAGGCACGCCTAGGCACCCAGGGCTGGTCCACGGCCCTGTGGCTGGCCGCGCTCCCAGCGCCCAGACGGACTTCTCAGGTCCTCTTGGAACGCAGGCCAGACCTGTTGCCTTCCCACATCCCAAATGAGGAAACCGGGGTACACATGCCCAGAAAGAGGCAGAGTTAGGCCTCGATCAATACATAAAGCTGACGGCCTCCCGGGACCTTGTCCTCGGAGACCCTAGTCCGCTAGCCCTCCCAAAGACCTTTCCCGAACTGCCCTGAAAGGAACCGGCTTTTGCCATTGACACAAAACTGACAGGAGGACCAGCCACTCATCTACCTTCCTCCCCGGAGGAGGAGCTTAGCCAATGAGTTCGGCCCTTCGTTGGCTCTGGCCTCAGGGGCGGTGCCAGCTCCTTACAGCACTGAGGGGCGTGGCCCGGCCTACGCACGCGCACAGACGCGCACAGGCACACAGACACACGCACACCCGGGTCGCTCCCGCCTTGGGGGCGGGGTTTTTTTTCCTCAGCGCCTTCTGGGCTAGCCCAAATCTCTCTTGCAGGCGTTGTGAATAGGGGCGGAGTTACGAGCCGGGGAGGCGGGGGGAGGCTAGACTTCCTCCCCACTCAGGGTCTAGCCTAGAGATTTTGCCGGCGGCTCATTTCCGGTGGGGGAGCCGCGCCCAGTGAGGACCCGGAAGTGGGTCGCGCGAAGATTGCTGGGCGGTTCTTGCCGGAAGTGGAGAGCGGTTGATCGCAGTCCCGAGGTGAGGCAGTACTCTTAAGGTGAGGCGGCGCGGCTGAATAGGGATGGGGGTCCCTTCCAGAGCCCACCAGCTCCTGGCGTTTTTAATAGCCATCCTGGCCTACGCGCGTGTGGTGAGCCCCGACGAGGGGCCGGGGCTGAGGCCCTCGGGCCGACCTGGACTCCTGGGCGCGGTCTCTTGAGGTGGGGCGCGGGTGACCCGCTGAGCCAGGAGGTCCCAGGGAGGCCCTTCCATCCAGTTTTGCCGTGCTGCCCTTCACGTCAGCGGAGGCCTGCTTCCTAAGGCGTCCTGCCTGAAAGGAACCTCAGACCTTAGAGTCTTCACTGTACCCTGCCTCGCTCCCATTGCACGGATGGGTACATTCATATCTGGGGAAGAGGCTGCCCGACGACCCCATAGCGAGAGAGAAGTATCGGAAGTATTACCCAGTTCCTTAGCTTATCAGCCTCAGATCCTCCCAGAGCTCATTTCCTTGTAACCTCTGTAGCTTGCGGTAGTCTTCCGGGCTGGGCAGTGAAAGGCCACCTGCTGCGTGGGATTTTTTCTTTTTACTTTAAAAAGTTCACCTGTTTAGAATGCCAGGGAAGTTTTAAAAAGAGAGGCGAGCAAGTCTCGCACTTACATTGATACCTTCCCTACTAGTAGCCTGCAGCTCTTTCTCAGAATAGCTAAGCTGGCTTTATTGGTGCTGGTGGATACTTCCTGAACTGAAATCGGTTGGCTCAGCCTTGGTCTGACCTCATTGCTGAAGTATGTGTGGCCGTAGATAGATGCCTTATTTAACTTTTTTATACCTTATATCTTTTAAGTGGAGATTTCTACTCTAATCACAGGATTAAATTCAGTGTATAACAAATTGTTTATTCTGTGCCAGCATTTGCCAGGTTCAGCCAATGTTTAAAACTAAACAAGCTAAATCCTGCTCGCATGCAGCTAATAGTGTTTGCAGAGACTTTCAAGAAATAATTAATAAGGGGCTGGGGATATAGCTCAGTGGCACAAGCGCCTGCCTAGCAAGCGCAAAGTCCTGAGTTCGATCCCAGGTACCGCAAAAAAACAAAACAAAACAAAACAACAAAAAAACAAAAACAAACCCAACTAATTAATAATGTGATGAATGTTAGGAAACTGTATAACAAGGGGTTCAGAAGAATTTTGAAGGACCAGTAGGGTAAGTTTAATGAAGAGGAGATGCAAACATTTTGGAGGTAGTGTCAGAACTGTGTCAGTTTTAACACTTTGTAGGAATTTCTAAGTGCAAATCCTGGGTAGTCCAGCACGTTCATCATTTACCAAGGGTCTCTGGGTCTTTGTGAGATGAAAAGATACCGTTCTCATGGAGTTTAAAGTGTGTGAGGAGCATAGAGTTTACAGTATGTGAGTAAAACAGGGGTGGCTTACTGTGTGCACTATTGTGAACACAGAGGTATGAGAACATAGGAATTACTGTACCTGAGCCAGGTTTCCAGGATTCCAAGACGGAATGGAAGGCTGTATCTTCCAGGATTTATTTAGCCATACAGTGAATCTGGAAAGAGGATTTCCAGGCAAAGAGGACTACAGATACAAGGACATGAAGATCTAGACATCTGAACCACCATGAATGAATCGTCAGACTGGAATTCCAATGCACATGGCAAACTGGAGGAAGTGAGAAGTGGTGGAGTGAAATATGGATGACCTGTAAGGCATTTGGGTTTTACTTAGTAGCTGTAGAGGTGCTCTGGGGAGTTTTGATTAGAAAAACGTGACGAGATTTATATTTTAGAAGTTCACTCTGTCAAGTGGGAAGGGACAGACCTTAGAGAAGTAGGTCACCTTTTAGTTTTCTGTGAAACATTGTGAGTCAAGAGATTCATTTTGCTTAAACAAGCAAATGCAAAGGATCATTGGAACGTGAGAGTTTTGAATTGAAATTTAATGCTGAGATTGGAAATCTAAAGATACTTAAACTAGGTGTTACCCAGTCTTAGTAATTATTTCCTTGAAATGTCATGGTCAGTTTATTTACTACCTACCTTGCTTCCATACCTATTATTACTATTTTTTTCTTTCTTTTTTTTTTTGTACTGGGAATTGAACTCAGGGCCTCATGCTTGCCAGGCAGGCACTGTGCCATTGAGCTATATCCCTGGCCCCCTTACCTATTATTATTATTTTTTTAACAATAGGAAGAATTTCTTGAGAGAAAGAAAAGCTCAGAAAGTGAGTTGCCCCCATACCTATTATTTTTAACTTCTTTACCACAACTAATCTTTTGAAGGTTCTTTACAATGAACCATTTTCATCTTATTACTCTGGCTTCATACTCCCAAAGAATGAAGTCTATACTCCTTTGTCCAACACTTAAGGTTGGGGTGGTGGTGCATGTTTGTGATTGTCCTTGAGGCTGAGCTAGGATTTTCAAGGCCAGTGTGGGCTGTATAATATAGTGAGACGCTGTGTCCAACAAAGTAGAAGCAACCACCACAACAAAAAAATTCTCTACCATCAGACCCTTGTGTTTTTTTATTTTTTACTTTAAAGATAAAAGAACAAAAACATTAACAAACACATACATTTACAAAATAACACAAAAACAATAGAAGCAATAAACAATTTCAGACAAGGTGATAGGAAATTAACAGTGATCGTTGTATTACATATTGGTATCTTCAAATTGGTTACTCAGATAAACAAATATAGACATGTAAGAGACAAGGTCTTGTGTAGTTTGGGCTAGGCTTGAACTACCTACGTAGCCTAGGCTGGCCTTGAACTTGTAGTGATCCTCTTATTTCAGCCTCCTAGGTGCTGGAATTGCAGGTGTGTGCCACCATGTCCAGCCCTTTAAGTTATTTATTTATTTATTTATTTATTTATTTTTGAGACAGGGTCTTGCTGTGGAGTTCACACTGGCCTTGAACTCAACTATGTAGTGTAGGCTGGCCATTGCTGGGATTACAGGTATGTGCTACCATGCCTGATTCTTTATTTTTTGAGACTGGGCCTTGCTGTGCAGTTCATGCTGGCCTTGAATTTGGGACAGTCCTCCTGCCTGAGCTTCCCAAATGCAGAGATTACAGGCATCTGCCACCTTGATGAGCTCTAGCATTTATTTGAACCGTTTGTGTTTCCCTGATTTTTGTTACATCAGAACAGGGTTTCTCAGCCTTGGCAAAGTTGACATTTTGGGTTGGATAATTCTTTGTTGTAGGGTTGCCCTGTGCATTGTAAGGTGTTTAATACCATATGTAGCCTTTATTCATTAGATGCTGGTAGCATTCCTTCAATTCTGATAACCAAAAATGTCTTTTTTTTTTTTTTTTTTTTAAGACAGGCTCTCATTATGTAGTCCAGACTAGCCTTGAATTTGCTTATGTAGCCCAGGCTGGCCTTGAACTCGCAGTGATCCTCCTGCCTCAGGTGTGTCCCACCATGCCTGGCTGAAAAATGTCTGTAGACATTGCCAGATGTCTGCCTGAAAATAAAGTTTACCCTGGTAAAGAGCAGCTGCATCAGAAAGGTCATAGCTATGATTGTACAATAGCTTAGCTCTTCAGCCTTATTCCCTGAGGACAGTCTCCATAGCTGTACTTAGCACAGTGTGTGGCACATGATAAACACTCAGTACCCTTTAATGAATGAAACACTTGTTTCTGTTGAGGCAGCAAGAAATTATTACATCTTCAAGGAATTCCTGGGTGGTCCTCAAAGGACTTGCCTCTCTTCCCTACCTTCCCAGTTTCAGGTGTGATCTAGTGCCACTGATTGGCACTAGAAGCAACTTTGGTGTTAACACTGTAAGTCAGCAAATTTCTCTCTTCCATCTGTTGTGGATGTATATATTGAAGCAGGTTTTGTTCATGTTCATATCACCTGAATTTAGCCTGGTTAATTTTAATGATCAGGGACTCATTTATTTTTAAATTGTATATACTTGAGAGTTGGTGTTCACATTTATTTTAATTGATAAATTTGTTGATGTTTCATTGTCTTTCAATTAATGCAGCTACCACATTAGCTGTGAAACTATTTCTTCTTGATATACCATTATGTAAACATAATAAAAACAAGCAAAGGTCTAAAAATACTCTTCTGCTACAGTGCAGCTTTGTTTGCCTTCTATTACCAGACATTTGCCAAACTTTTCCACTTGCCTGGAAAATACTTGAAGTGTGAACATGCTTGCTATTTTTGTTTGAGGTGGGTTTTTTTGTTGTTGTTGTTATTTTCAGGTTTTTTTTCCCCCGAGACCATTAAAACTCCTATATTTAAATTAATTATAGACTTAACCGTCGCAGATCTTTTCACATATTCAGTTGTAGTTCAATTCTGGGTAAGGACAAATGGCATACCTGAATCTCTTTTTACAGATGACAGTAGAAAATGCTGTTGTATTACAGCAAGTATCCAGTCTCAAATCAGTCAGTGCAGTTATGCCTTTTACAATATAAAGCATACATGAGTACAAAGGGCTTGCTGAATGCACCTTGCAGTTAGTCTTCATAGTTCTTTAAACTAAGGGAGACTCAAATCCATGGCCACACAAAGTTAGCCATTTGCCAGGCCTAGACCATTGAAACAGCTAGTTCCCAAGTCTGACTTAAGTTTATATGCTATTGCTCATTTTACTCTTGTAGTTTCAGATAGAGCATTGGTGGTGTAAGGAGGGAACAGGAGACAAGCACTGATACTAGGTTGGATTCCTTCCCTCCTAGAAGATAGGCCTTTCTTTTTTCATCTAAATCTCAGGTGGCAGTGAAGGCACTAAATGTCATTGGTTTCATCAGTGAAACCAAATGCTTAGGAAAGAACAATGGCTTCTGATTTGGGTTAGATTTAGATGACGTCTTTATTGGAGCAAAGTAGTGTCTGCTGTTTGGTTTTTGGGTTATACTAGCCAATATGTAAGTATTCCCTATTAGCATGTTTATATTTTGCTTTATGACATATTAGAACTTAATGATAAGAATTTCTTATCAAAAGTATTATTCAGAGAACTAACAAATAGATTGGTGGTAGCTGAGAAAATATATG